AAAAATCAGCCTTACTCACAGGTGGTAGTTCCACACCCACAATCCAGATAAAATCTACAGAGTACATGAAAGTTTGGGACACGAGAACTGAGAAACGTATCGAAGAGTCAAATTACGATTTTGGTGGCCACATATGAAACGAGTAGTTAGAAATTGGGTACGATCCTGCGAATCATGTCAAAAACGGAGTACCGTATTACCTATGGAAGAAAGACAAGCAACAGGAAGATCAGCTTTATTCAGTAGAGTTAGTTTGGATACACTTCATATCAAGGCAGGAAGATGGAAATACTTAGTAGTAGCAAGAGACAATCTCTCAGGATGGGTCGAAGCAGTTGGACTGGAGAAAATGCAAGCCAAGAAGATTGCAAATTGGTTCCACGAATGTTGGATACTTAGATATGGCGCACCTACAAACGTTGTAGTAGATGGAGGATCTGAATTCGGAAGTCAGTTTCAAGAAATACTTAAGTCCATGGGAATTCAGATTTGAGTTACGACACCGTATTATCCAGAAGCCAATGGAATGATTGAACGTGGCCATAGAACAATAAAAGATACTTTGGTTAAACTTAGTGGCACAGAAGGAAAGAAGTGGTGAGAATATCTTCCGCTGGTACTATTTGCTGATCGAGTGTCGACTAAACGAACGACCGGTTATACTCCGTTTGAGCTAGTTTTTGGGCAACAGGCAATTTTGCCAGTGGACTTAGAATTTGAAACTTATCTTGATATTGATTGGCTTAAAATAAAATCAACAGAAGATTTATTGGAGGCCAGGGTAAAACAACTAAAGGATAGGGATAATATTTTACAAAAGGCTCATACAAAATTAATTAAGACTAGACAGGAGTCAGTTAATTATTGGAATAACAAAAAAAGAAACAGGAAGCCACTAAAAAAAGGAGACCTGGTATTAGTTTACAATAAAAGTCTAGACTCACAGTGGGGGAAATTATTCGAAAATAAATGGAACGGGCCTTACCGGATTGTGGACCAAAATCCTGGAGGATCCTACGCGTTGGAAGAACTGGACGGAACGCCGTTGGCTAGAAAATATGCCGCCAGTCATGTCAAATTTTTCTATACAAGAGAAGAGGAAGAAGAAGAAGAATGAACTTACTTGGAGTATTAAAGTGATGACTATGAGGCATCCCATTTGGAACAGATTTCTCTAATTTATGGTTATTAGCCTAAAAAAAAAAAAAAAAAAAAAAAAAAAAAAAAAAAGTTAGCTAGATGATAAAAAAAAGGGAAAAGAAAAGAAAGAATTTACTTGATAGAAAGCCTCACGAATCCGGATATAGGTATGAACTCTAGCGTCGTGGTCATTATAATCCTTTGGTTGATTCGTCTTACAGTAGTGGACAAAGCGGTTTAAAACCACGGCTTCCAAAGAATCAAATTCGTCCTGAGAAAAGACATCATCGGAATAGAAGGTGTGGCCATGAGGAGTAAGAAGCATGGAAATCTCAAGCTCGTCCGCCATAGGCCCGACACCAGAAGACCCGTTAGAAGACACGTAGATCGGGGATTGATGGGTCATGTTAAATCAAAAACTAAAAAAACTAAAAAAAGAAAGAAGTCAGTAATGAAAAGGAAAAGGAGAATTAAAAAGAATGGAAACACACGAACGGATTTGATTTGAATCAGGAAAAAGATCGGAAAACGGACAGAAAATTTTCAAGCGAAGGTTTAGGAGATCGAAGATTATTCGAAATAATCGGGTCCATGAAAGCGACCAAAGTTGGAAGAAGCAAAAATCAAATCAAAACAGTGGTCATTAGCTTTAAAGTAAAAAAAAGAAAATGATAAAAGAAGAAGACTTACTTAACTGGTTAGAAAGATCTGCAAGGAAGAAAATCAAGTGATGTGATCGAAGATTACGTTCGAAGCGAAAACGATTAAATCATTAAGGAAAACGAAGATCGAGGAGATAATACAGAAACCCAAGGGCAGGAGGACGAGAGCGTATGGATTCCGTTGGGGAAAGACAGAAAATAAAAGCCGAAACAGCTTGTTAGCAGAGTCGATAAACGAGATCGAGATGTTTTTTTTTTTAAAAAAAAATAAAAAAACTTACTTTGAGTTCGCTAAAAAGACTGGAGCGAAAAGACGCAAAGTCTCAGACGGACAAGGATCTATTCAGAAAAATTCGGAAAAAAAAGGGGAAAAAGATCGTTAGCGAAGTTATCGGATAGCTAAAGAAAGAAAAGACGGTCGATTACGTACATACGCTTACAGTGAAGAACGAACAAGGAGAGAGCCAACGGTAAAGAGGAA